AATATACAACATATAAAGTTATTTAGGCTATTCATCACTTGACTGCAGAATTTGACAATGTATAGGAGACTAATCACGACAAAATTATTGGTGAAAGACGAAAATATTATAAGTAAAAGAATATGCTTATTCAAATACCATTTATATTCACATGGTGTATAATTTTACTCACGGACGAAATGATAAAGCCAATTTAGAATGTATTTAAAATAATGACAATGTGTCAGTGCTATGGATGAATATTTGTCATATAAATTTCAGGTTTTCACAGCGGTGAATATGGGTATTAGTCTTCCGGGATGTTGCGCCGTGTAGTCTGGTATAAATTTGCAGACGTTTTAGAGGTGCTGCATCAAGGTGACGCGCTTCAGACTTAGGCCCTTTATGCCCATAGGATGGGCACCACCTGCCCATTTAATAGGGGACTGAGGTAATTGAAAGCCGGCATGGACAAAGCAGAGATAACAGAAGGTGCCCACCGGAAATCGAACCCCGAGGGTCTAGGTAGTAACCAGTCAAGCTGAACGTTTAGTGGCCAGCGCAGGCCCCAAGGATCCATTACCACCCAACATATCAGGTCAAACAACCCAGAAGACCACAATGAAAGTTTGATAATACAATATAATTTAGCCACTTATAAAATTCACAATCTTTTTCCAAATTTTTTCCCCATTAATGATTATCATTTAAGAATTGGGGACTTGCACTTCCATACTACACAACTACGTGTCAAATTTTAATTCTGGGGTTAACAGTTTATCATTATGTTAGTGTGATATGCATATGCCATGTTGCATAACTGATAGAAATTAAATATTTTCCACGGTGACATGAAACATTTAAGACTCTAAGTGTTTACATTTTTTAGACATAAATACGTTACAAAGATTTGAAAACTGGGAAAATATTTAATAGAATTAGTCAAGAGCTGAGAAAAATAAATCACATATTTCTTCTACTTTTACTTTTCTCTATTCTTCTAATACCAATATGTTTTGCTAAGGTTCATACATGACTATTCATCTTTTATTCATGTGTAATACCAACATTACACAGTATGAAACAACGACAGAGTCATTAAATAAATCACAAATAATATAAAAAATCAAGTACCTTGAGTTTCAGTTTGAAGCTTGGTGGTAGCTCATTTTTATTTACCCTTGCCAAGGTTTCAAGGATTTGTGACCCTTCTTCAAAGCGGCCTTTAGCAAGCAACCATCTTGGAGATTCTGGAAGGAACCTGCAATTGTAAATTAATTCTGGACAGGATCATATCTCATTGTTATACTTTACTATGGTGAATCCAGCATTCTAAATAGACAGTGATGGTGGAAGCAATTCATGGTCATTTGTTTTGAACAGACTTTTAACTTTGTTTTAGCAGCTATATACGAGGTGCGATCGGAAAATTTCCAGACTGCGCCTATAAAAACCCGTACACTTATCTCAGGTATTAAATTCATCCATCACCCTCGAAGTAGTTCCCCTGGGAGTAAACACAACGATCCCAGCGCCGCTGCCAAGCCTGGAAGCATCCCTGAAAATCTTTCTTTGTCAGCCTGTCAAGCACCATCTGCGATTCTGCCTGAATCTCTTCTATCGTCTCAAAT